AGTAACAACACATCAACATGTGGAGCATAAAATAAAGCAATACCACTGTAAGACCAAAATATACCAAGGTTAGATTATGAATGAAAATTAAACGAAATACAGCAAGATGATAGTACAAAATAATGCAATACCACATCTACCTAAGCAAGATTAGGGCACGAAATCAACATCCCTGCAAGGTAAAAGTATTGTACAGCAAGACTAGAGCACTGCATTATGGCCATTCATTACAGAGGTATTAACATTTTGTTTCAAAACAACCAATTTATATTGGTGGTTCAACAGCACCCTGTCGCCATACCTACGGTAGTGAGTAATACCCATATTTTAACACCCAATGTGCAAAAGGCTTTTCAATATTGTCCATTCAGTAGCTTCCAGACTTGAACGTAATTGAAAATACTATGTACTTTGGACTACCATTTGAGTCAAATTCCGTCTGCAAGCTCTAGTTATTCTCAAAGTTTCATAAATAATAATATACAGGAAATTTCAGAGCTATTTCAAATCAAACAGTGTTAGTTCCAGTTTGTTACAGTGACATATCTTTATTTCCCCTTGCAGTACTTATCTGTTTTAATCACGTTCCCTTCACTTCATCAGGAATAACTTCCTTTCACACAGTTCAGTATCAAATTTGATAAGGCGGTTTACCTTAATGTATTGCAAATCCTCACCGTTTTCATGCTCGTCACATTTCACTCTATCAATTCCGTCTTTAACCGATTGTGTTCCTTTACAATTCACATCCACTAAATCAGGAAGGTGTTTTGTACTTATCAATCTTAAGGACATTCCTTTACGAGTTTCTCCTCTCACATACAGTGGTAGCTGAAATCCATAGTCTTTGGAGGATTTTGGCTGTTTGATTGGCTCGTCTTAGAAAGTACACGATTCAACTTCCAGAAACGAGCGCAGTGTTTGATCAGGAGGAGCTGAATGAAGCCGCTTGTATTCAATGAACCCAAGAGAAATAAAGTGCTTATATCATAACACTTTTAGTTTCATTTCGGCGCAATAAACTTCGGAGGATTCATTTTGCTTAGCTGACGTTGAAAGAAGCCAGCTCGCCACTGGGCAAATAAAACAATTACCTTAAAATAGCCTGAATCGATTCACGGTAATAGGAAATGGATTTTATGACTGAACAGTTTATGTTCCATATAAATGATAGTGGAAATGTCCAGGCTGGTTGTAATGAGGTGGAAATTGGTTCAACATTGCTTCTGTTAATGGCTAGGAGAGTTGAATATTGGTGATGCATGGTCGGTTTTAAGAAGTAATTGATATTTCGTTTCGCGGCGTTGATATAGGATACCATGCAGATGTATTTGAAGAAAATATGATCATACGTGCTGAAGTGAAAATATTTCCTTTAGTCTACTTTTTCCTTGCGTGTTTAAAGACTAATATGTTCCATCAAACTGCAAGCTTACTGAAGAATATTGAAATTCAGCGATGTTCTCACACTTACCCTCTCAACCATTGACAATGGATTTGCTGGGCAGCACAGTTACCTTTTTCAACTGTCACCTGATACGGCTCTTCACTGCTTCACCCCACAACATGAGCGATAACTCTGAACTCTGTTTTAATTATTTAGCCGTTACAGAGGACTTCACTACTTCACCCCACAACATAAGCGATAACTGTGAACAATGGTGTAATATTAGTTTTACACAACACTTAGTTGCCACAACCCACAATAGGAGCAATAGCTATGAACAATGCTGTAATGTTAACATGTTGCACATCACTTCACTCCCTCACTCCACAACAGAAACGATAACTGTGTACAATGCCCTTATGTTAAACTGTTGCACAGCATTTCACTGCTTCATCCCTGAAGATCGATGACCATGAAAACATTTGAAACCTGAAACCTTTTCCTCCCAATACACCACCACAGTTACAAATAAGCAACCACGTGAACAGGACTCTCTGGTTTAACTTATTTGAGAGGCATTTTAGAAGTTGTAAAGATGAAGGAAAACCAAGTTCTAACTTTATTGCAATGAATGTGACGTTTCGGTGTAGATACATCACTCACTTGATAACGGTGTTAGTATCTACACCGAAAACGCCGCTTCCAGTGCAATAAAGAAGTTGACTGTCCATAGAACTTGGTTTTCCTCTCTGGATTAGTCAGTAAAATATAAAAACACATGGTGTATGTCCAATATATATAAATCATATTTCTTTGAACGGAGCTTGTGTAACATTTTATTTATATATATTTGATATTGATGGGATACAACGAACCCAGTAGAACACAGCAAGGTCGAGCAATTTTTTCAGAGGCACTCAGTCAAATTACTGTTCCGAGTTGGAGATCCCACAAGTCTTGGCCTGGATTCCGTAGCTTATAGAAATCAAAAGAAGAGTGATTGGATTCTCGCACAAGTGATGCATTGTGAACTGACATGGGCGGAGAATACAGACAGGTTTCATGTCATTGGTGCGGTTTCATAGTCGTGGTAATGTGTTTAGACTGTTTGTTTGTGACTTGGAACGGTATTGCAGGCAGCAATGTGCCGTACTAGATCGATGTGTGAAGCTCGAATGTATTTATTGAACTTCATGGGCGGTGAATGAAGACAGGTTACATGTCGTTGGTGGGGTTTCATAATCGTGGTAATGTGTTTAGCTGTTTGCTTGTGATTGGGATTGGTATTGAAGGCAGCAATGTGTCGCACTAGATCGATGTGTGAAGCGCGAATATTTACTGTGCTGCAGTACAGTTCGTCCGACCACTAGGTAGGCATCAAGGCCACCTCCAGGAGGAGTCTACAAAGAGTGAGTAAGTTGGGTTTTACGCCGCTTTTAGCAATATTCCTCGGGGGACACCAGACATTGGCTTCACAACTTGTACCCATGAAGGGAATCGAAACCGGGCTTTCGGCGTGACGAGCGAACGCTCTAACCACTAGGCTATCCCACAGTTCCGCGAGTCTGCAAAGAGATAAAGAGCAAATGTCCGTCTCCTCCATCAGGGCGGGTTGTGATGTTTTTAAATGCAATGTCATAGAAATATATATTTCTGCTGACGCTGTAACACATTTCGTGATCGCTTTAGCCTGTCTCACAAACCCTGAATAATGGCATGTTCCTTCCGTCCAGCACCTGTACCACTGTAAACCTAAATACAAACCAGACTTTGTACAGCATCGGGTTCTGAATCGTGTTTTGCAGAGTATTCAATCGACCTTTAACAGCACCGCCATCTGCCTTCATAAGCCCATCATAGGTATTCAGGAGCATCATCATCGAGTGAGTGAGTTGGGTTTTACGCCGATTTTAGCAATACCCCAGCAATATCACGGCGGGGGACACCAGAAATGTGTTTCACACATTGTACCCATGTGGGGAATCGAAGCGTGACGAGTGAACGCTTAGACCAACGCCCATCACTATCACTGACCTGAGAAGCATCATCATCTGCCTCCACAAGTATCGTCACGGGTTTTCACAAAAATCATCATCGGCCGCCACGAGAACCATCATGGGCCTTTACAAGCCCCTTCATAGGCCTTCACACGCACTGGTAGGGTGCATTTAAAAGAATCACAGCCATGATAATGTTCTCGGGTTCAAAAATCGGTATATCAAAAATATTATTTTGGAAATTTTATTTTATGTTTTATGACCGGTACGATGCTCAGGTGTTGCACAATAACACTGTAAAAGGTCAGTCCATATGAAGTTGGCTCGACTCTGCATAGAGCTCAGGTCACAAATATATTGAAGTTATGCAACGTCGAGCGCGGAGAGTTCTTGGTGGGGTGATCGTGTTTGGCAACGTGACTCCTGAGAGTTTTTAGAACTTCAGTCCTGCCCCACAACGAAGCACATGTGATACATGTGGTCTCACATTAGGAAAGTAAGTATGTTCAAAATTGCCTCAGTTCACCCAGAAGTATAAATGGGTACCCGGTGGGATAAGTCAAGTGACTAATAACCGTCTAGCGCCTCAAAGTGAAGCTGGGTTATCCGGGGTAATAACAGTATGATAGCGATATGAGCATTCACCTAGTGAATGGAGTTTGGCGCATTATAAATGCACTTATTATGATTATAGACACGGAACACTGTTCAAATCGGCGTCAAAATCATTCACTCACTCGTTATAACCAGGTTGTGAGGTTTGCGTGACTTTATGCTTTCCACCAACATTTATTGGAATGACACAAAATGTTCTAACTGAAGTTTGTATGAATATGTTAAATCCATGCTCTCAATTTCTTACTCCAAAAACATAAAAAAACTGAAGATTCATGAATATTGTGCTCTTTATTCAGAAATATCTCTTGCATAGAATATGTGATTCTACTTCCACAAAATAACATTATATAGTATCAGACGTGGTGATCATGAAAGAACTGTGAAAACGAAAATGTCTTGTAAGAATGACACAGGGTATTTAGGAAGATACCATAGCATCAACAATATGTAGAACGTATTGCACAGGCTAACAAGGTGACTAGCGGTATCAAGGCATTTCTGTGTCTCCAGCATTCATGGAACCTCATTGGTTAGTGGTAGTAGTGACTTTAGTTTTACGCCGCACTCAGCAATATTCCAGCTATATGGTAGCGGTCTGTAAATAGGTCTAGACCAGACAATCCAGTGATCAACATCAAGAGCATCGATCTACGCAACTGGGATACGATAACATGTGTCAACCAAGCCAGCGAGCCTGACCATCCGATCCCCTTAGTCGCCACTTACGACAAGCATGGGGTACTGAAGATCAATTCTAACCCGGATCTTCACGGGTCACGGAACCTCAAGCTTCATAAGGGTAATGGTAATTGTTCCCTTGTTTCAAATAACATATATGAATATAATTTTCAACACTGTATGAACAGATCAGGCATTGTTTCTCACATTTCCCGCACAATTATACATTAATCACATCAGTTCCAAGATGAATCAGTCACTAAAACGATTACCACGCGCACAGACAGCATGGAGCCAGTCTTTACGTTTGATATTCTTTCGTGTATACAAGCCACAACCACATAACAGGGCGCATGTGTTGCGTTAGATTAATCGGAAATCATAATTACAGATGAAAAAACCCACATAAAACGGGTTCCTGTTTATCTATATGTGCCCGAGAAATACAAGACAACTCCATGCTGAACTCTGGTCTTTGAGCGGGATGGGGGTTAGGGTGGTACCGTTGGTCGTGGTGAAATGGTCCCTTACACGAATTCTAGGTGTGTTTGTGTGGCTGTTGTATCAGTGAGTTTAGTTTTACGCCGCTTTTAGCAATATTCCAACAATATCACGGCAAGGGACACTAGAAACGGGCTTCACACATTGTACCCATGTGGGAAATCGAACCCGGGTTTTCGGCGTGACGAGCGAACGCTTTAACCACTTGACTTCCCCACCGTCCCAGGAAGAGGAGGTCCGGTGTGTTCGAGTAGAAAGGGGAAGGAGGTTGGCATCAAGTGGGTCGTATATGTGGTCAAGTGATAGGGGGAATGGACAACTACAAGAGACAGGTGAATAACAAGTTGCAGTAACCAAACTGTCCACAAACATGTTTTCATTTTCTATCCTGGAACGAAATTTTCCCCTTGTAATGGCAAAGGTGTGTTCGCTAAATCTCGTCCCTTTTATTGACCTCCGAATCGGAGTGTTACGGAATGACCAGTGCTAATGAATATGACGACAATTTTGATTTTTACATCGAGTTGACAACCATAAAATAAATGCTTTTTAAAAAATATCATCCCATGTAACAGCAACATAAAAGAATATAAATAAAACAGGTAATACAAATGTGTACATCACTGACTTAAACATTCAAAAAGTATATTGGGGCATACAAAATCTTGATGGACTATATGTGTGGCTACAACCTTGTGCGCCATGGGGAGATTCCAGGTTGGAACAGGCCCCAAGCAATCTTTAAAGGTCGTAAGAAGGCGTTCCATGTTGGTCGTTGTTAAGCTGCAATCACTGTATTGCTTAGACCGACTAGAACATCATGGACTACAACCACACATTCTGAATATTGCTGTGTGCGGCGTAAAACAACAAACAAACAATGCTATACATCGGGTGCATTATGGGTAGGTACATGAGCTTTGATTTCTGTGACATCTCCATAAATTCACATGTTGACAAAGTGTTACAATAATATATAATTATATACCGTGGAAGCTTCTTCAACACTTTTGGCTGCACGAAATGCTTTGGAGAAGTTGCTTGGCAAAATTGCATTATATACTGCGAACTTTTACACATTCCGTCTTTATGGTCTGTTTCTTTTATAGGAGGAATCAAGCGATATCAAAACTCTGGAAGACCTGAATTAAAACCTAAACCTCAGCACGCCACTACGAAATTCCTTTTCTGTAAAATACATCTGGGTTAAAGCCCAAACTCGAGCAAAACACTGACTTTGAGAGTTGCACAATAATTGAAAGAATCGTTTGGAAATTAAGCAGCGCATGGATGTAGTGCTTGATGGATACCTTTAATATGGTCTGCCATGTTTATTTCCATACTCTGATAATGAATTTACCAACTGTCATTACAACATTAACGACTGCAATATGTGTTCAACATGGGAGACTCGGGACTGAGCTAAGTGTTGGTCATTCCTTTAAGAAACACATCTCTTTACTGACAAATGAGTCAAGCAATATTTTAGGGGAACGAAAAACAAGAGTTTAAAGAAGTAGTCCAGTGCACTTACACAACTTTTCATTTAAAAAATGAAATTCGATGGCAGTGTTAACTTCTGACAGAACTGACGAGGAGCATTTCTGAAAGAAATATAGGATTTGAGATTTGAGATAAAAATAAGAAGGATTGGGATTGCCATGGAGTCTCCCTTGGGATGACCACATGACATTTATGGCTTAATAGGGCAAACTTTGATTATATTAGGGCAAACTTTGATTATATTATTCAAATCAGCATACATGAGAATAAACCGATTTCTAGTCCTACAAGCGCTTTCATTAACAAATTGTGGATTCTGTGTGACATCTATCCAAGTTCCCGTCTCCACGCAAAGCCACACGCACCTGACACTAAAAGGATCATCTTGGACCTGTGGCGACTCGATTCCCTTAAAAAAGAACCAAAGGTGTCATTACCAGATCCCTCCGGGTAGAATTATCTTTTGACATTGGTGCTTCTGGATTAGATATATCATAATGGGTAGCACTCAGAAGCTTCTGATCACATTTTCTATTGAACATGTCCCAGAGAGAAGTGATGGGGCTAAACTTTTTTGTGTCTGCATCAAGCACTGATGTCCTTAGCTTCGCTGCATCGGCCCCTTCCCCACCAGTCAGCAACGTTCTGGTAGACATTGGACCACTGCGATGGTTGATGAACTCGTTCGCATAACAAACAGTGGGGAAAGGGTTGTGGCTCGACAATATGATACGAATCCTTCCACTTGAGATAGGACACATATTCGCCCACATTATCAGCCAGATAATTCAGGCGTTCTGCTAAATCGCTCACCGATGCGAAGTCCTCCGTGACAATGGCCATCATTGATGAAGGCAACAAGGCAGAGTAGTCGGCCAGACCTCTTGCGACAGGCACAATGTCGGTTTTCAACGTTTTTAATAATTTTTCAGTGACATAGTCTTGGCATAAAGAATTTTCGAAAGATAAATAAAACTTATAATCTTGCTCTAGCATCTTCATACACTCTCCAGATCTCCCACGCTCACATTTTAACTTTCCACAATGACCGTATATGTCGACTGGGATGTAATTTTGTAGCAACTTCACATATTTCATCCTTTGGCTTTGGGTATTGCAGTTGCTGACGAACCATGCTACGTGTTTCTTCTTTCTCGAAGCTATGGCAACATAATCTTTGGTTCCATTGATCCCACCAGGCACCACGTCCCCGTAGCCAAATTTAATGTCCGAATCTAGGCGGTAGCTCATTGTCCAGTTGAACTTCCCCTCCCACGATGGACCACCAAAACCAGTGTTACCGGAATGAACTGGGCTCTCTACAGAGAAAAAGATCCAGATTTGTCCAGGGGACTTCGCCGGCGGAGCGTTCCCGGCTTGGTGGTCGGTGTAAAACATGATCGCGTCGCTTTCGGGAATTGTTTCTGGTTTGTCCACGTACACACAATTGCTGACTGGACATCCCTCGAAATGTTTCTCTCCCATTTGTAGCTCGTAATACCACGGGAAGGAATGAAGGTGAATCATTTTGTAGGTCCTGTTTGTCCTAAGGACGACTTCCGGTGACGGGTGTTTAGATTTATCTACCCGGAAGTAGCACACGGCATACACTGTTAGGCACACGCAGATACACATGACCAGGAAGTTGTAGGTGGAGGTCACGCCCATGCGCCTGAAACATAAAGTCAAGGTCATTAGAATGAAACGCATAATCATCCTTGTTTGGAGTGAGTGCGCGAGTTTAGTTTTATGCCGCTTTTAGCAATATTCCAGCAATATCACGGCGAGAGTAGAGGACAACTATGGACGCAAACGTGCTGGTGAATCAGTCGTGACTGACAGCGAAGTGAGTTTAATTCCAATCCATGTTGGCTGCCAATCCTAAATTGACGGCACATCAGAATGGGCTAAATAGTAATCCAAATGGTTGTCGATCACTGTACGTTGGTCTTAGTATTGAAGTGAGCTTGTATACAGTATTGAGCCCAGAGCACTATAAATGCACAATGTCACTCCAGCGTGTTTCTACGTTTCGAACTTGTAATTTGAAGACCATTTGGGTTTTATTCTCTGAAGAAGTGAACAACATGTTTCACAAGAAATGTTTCTTTTTAACCCCATGCTAAAATTGAAATGGGAGAGTTTACGATGACATTTCTCCCGGATCTACTGGATGGTATAGCAGAGCATGTAGAAATGAAACGTTACAATGAATTAATTGCCTATATGGATGTATTGCGCACACTTGGTCTTGTAACATTAGGCCTCTTGTTAAAGCTTAAGTGCTGCCGCAACAACCAGCTTGTACTAAGAGCACTAGATACAGCAACATCACAGCAAGGTTAGAGAACGAAATACAGCAAGATTAGAGCACGAAATACACCACGGTTGAAGTGCGAAATACAGTAAAAGTAGAACATAATATGCGACAAATCACATTCCAATGTACAGCAAGCTTAGATGATGAAAACAGCACATTTCGAATACAAACGACAGCAACATTACAGTATGATATACAGCATTATTAGAGTACGAAGTAGAGCCATATCACCGCTACAAAAACAAGATTAGAGCACGAAATACACATCCCAGCATTGATTACAGCAAGACTAGATCACGGACATCAGAAAATACTCCTAGGCAAAATGTAGAGATAGTATCAAAATCAGGTAATATGATACACCCGGCCTTATACTGCATATCTTGCCATGTTGAACACCAGTGCTTAATACTCATGCAATTGGTCTATGAACACGTGGACACTATTTCAACCTTGTTTGTCTTTAGTAACCTGATACATTATGTGGCTAGTTCAATATCAACAAGAATTTCTGGAGGGTGGGGGATGTCATACTAATTACTGGATAACACTTTTGATGCTGCGGAAAGATCCTAAAAGATAGGGACTTTTCTTAGCCTAGGACTAAAAACCACAGCGTCAAGACAGAGACACTGAGCTTTTCATTTCAGAGAAAGTGACCTTTTTTTTATTAAGGCTCATAAAAAAATATTACGACTGAAGGTAAATTGGCGTTTAAATAAGTCCACGTTGCCATACCTCATTCGATGAGTAATACCGAGATTCTTAACACATCATACAATAGGCTTCTCAATATGTCATGACTTCATGACTTGAACACAACAGGACCACTTATTTACTTAGATGTTCTTAATTTGCCCAAACAAAAACATAGTTTCTCCTTGGAACAGGTAGCTTCCATTCGGTTTCATCTCAGGAACCTCAACTCTTTCAACACCAGTCAACCAGAAGCTTTTACTGCCATGACACCGAGTTCCCAGAGGCTCTAAGGTCATAGATGAAGCCTATGTTTATAAAGGAAAATATGAGCTTGTAAAACGTTATTGCTACTACATCTCATACACCAAAAAGATCTAATCCTACTGTTGATAAATATGAAATTTATTTTTATCATGTTATTCAAATAATTCAACTACAACTTAAATAAATTGTCATAACATCCCCGTGCGTTTTTCTTTTATATTTTCATTTTTACGTAATTAGAAAATTATTATAAAAAGATTTCTTACATAATATGTATGGTTGCCTATTTCCCGATATCAGTGGCTTTCCGCTCGGTAACATGACACAACAACGGAAAATACCTCCGTTTTCGAAGCTTCGTATGAGTAACATGCCAGGCCAATCGTTTGATGTCGGGTATCGTTCGAAAGCTCTGAACATCATAAATATCACTGTACCCTTGCCGAGAGTATTTTCACAGTTGTAAGAAGCGATTTTATTGGATAAAGACTGGTTTCTAGTGACGCTCTTTCGCCACAGTCTGCTATAAGGGTCGTGATTGGTCAAAATCAGACACGTGACCTAAGGCAGCCAAACATATTACAGCAATGGATACCGTCCTCGTAAACGAAATTTTTTAGATTTAGACGAAAGTTTTGGGTAAAATAATGCTATTCTGAACATATTAAGCGAGAAATCGCTACCTATACGTAAATTATGGAACTTATTGGACGTATCGTGCTAGGTTATGACCTGTGACAAAAATGATTAATGCATATATTTTCGCATTAAACATCGTGTCCGAGCGTGAAGATTGAGGCGGCGAAAGCCGAGATGTCAATGACTTGACTTGCATTACATGATCGTACAAAAAGATGGAAATAGTAATTTTATGTGTACGTTTGACAACTTTTATGAATACTATTGTTGATTTTATTCATTAGTTTATTCAATTTATTTAATGATTTCCTCGAAACATCGTTATTGTGCTCTTTGGCAATTTTGTTGTGGACCGCTAGCGAAGCATGTGTCCAGAGCTACAGATAACTTTTTGGGTCATTGAGTTATGTACCCGCTTCTCTTCATCTCAATTGGGTATCCCAATTTTCCTCTGAGTAACCAAACAAATTGTACTCACCTCACTCAAAATCAATTGGGTATTTTGCCTTTTTCCATTAATTGTTAAAATATAATAAAGTTTAAATGTTAGTGTTTGTTATTTATATTTGATCTGTAATATGAGAAACGATATGAAAGACTGCTAGTTGAGTGTTCATGTGCCAAAATAGAACCTCTCAATATACCTCAGTTGCTTTATCTATCCACTGGTACGCAAGCTAAGATTTGACAGTTTTCTGTGTACGCATCTACAATCAAATATATTGAGTATTTACAAAAATACAAGCGTCCTTGTACGCAACAGACGTAATAGGAATTGAGTTTTCACATAAATATTTGCGTAATTTACGCAGATACGCAGCTTATCTGTACCTCTGATGTGTCCGAGAATCGTTGTTTTCAATAACATTGCGAAAAATAGTTTATAATTTTAATTCTGCCGAAAATCTATGATCAATTGAAATTTAATAAGTGTTTTCAGACATTGTGAAATGTGATAGATTTACTATAAGAATCATAAATCAGGTAGGCTCCTAAAATTATGTCTCGCTTTGACGTGATTACTGCCTGGCCGATTAATCGGCGTCTAGTGTCTGGGGACTCATAACGTTGTGGCCGATTATTCGGCCTGCGGTGTTGAATGGGTTAATATGAAAGTAGCGCATGTTTGTATTTATAAAGCCTACTTGTTCTCCGTCAAGATCAAGGCATTTGTACACAATGGTTGTCGATACGCAATTCAATTTCCTTCCCAGTGTAGACTAGCTTCAGAGAAGATACTCCTGTTTGCTCTGTACAACAATCGTAAGAGCATGTCTTTCCGATTATGTTTGAAAGCAGCATCCAGTTCCGTCTAAAAGCTCCAGCTATTTTAAAAGTTTCATAAACAGATTATACTGAAAAATTCAAAGCTGTTTCAAATCAAACATCGTATTTCTAATTTGGCAGAGCCGTATCTATATTTCCTTCTGTGGTAGTTATCCTTTTTAAACAATTCCCCTCTCTTCTTTGGCAATCAGTTTCTTTCATACAGTTCAATACCAACTTTTAAAGGGCAGTCTACCTTAGTATATTGCAAAAGCTCACCGTTGTCATTCTCGTACGAGACCAGTGAAGATCCGGGTGAGAATTGATCTTCAGTAACCCATGCTTATCGTAAGAAGCGACTACCCGGATTGGGTGGCCAGGCTCGCTGACTTGGTTGACACGTCATCGAATCCCAATTGTGTAGATCGATGCTCATGCTGTTGATCACTGGATAGTCTGGTCCAGGATCGATGACTTACAGACCGCCGCCATTATTGCTGAGTGCGGCATTAAACTAAACTCACTCACTCATGCTCGTACGTCATATTTCACTTATTCAATTACAGTTACCCGATGTTCTCCCCCTCCAAATCACATCCACACGATCAAGACTGGGAGACGTTTTCCATTTACTTTTCCCAAAAGTACTTTCCATTACGAGTTTCTCCTTTGACATACAGTGGTAGCTGAAATCCATAGTCCATGGAAGATTTTGGCTGTTTGATTTGCTCGTCTTAGAAAGTACATGTTTCAACTTCCAGAGTGTTTGATCATAGAAACAGAATCCAGGCGCTTGTATCCTATGAACCAAGAGATATGAAGTGCTTGCTAACAGTTTATATCATAACATTTACAGTTTCATTTCGGCGCAAAAAGCACCGAAAGCGTTATTTTGTTAGGCTGAAGATGAAAGAAACCGACTCGCTACTGGGCAAATAAAACAATTACCTTAAAATAGCCTGAATCGATTCACGGTAATAGGAAATGGATTTTATGTCATAGATTCAATAGAGGAGTTTTTATTCCACAAAAATGATTGTGACAACGCTCTGACTGCTTGTAATGAGGTGGAAATTGGTTCAACATTGAATCTGTTAATGGCCAGGAGAGTCCCATGTTTGTGATGCATGGTCAGTTTGAAGAAGTAATTGATATCACGTTCCGCGGCGTTGATAAGGGTTATCATGCAGATGTATTTGGAGAAAATGTGATTATACACGCTCTCGTGAAAATATTTGCGTTTTTCTTAACGTTCCGTGTATAATGACTCATACTTTTTCATCAAACCTAAAGTTTACTGAAGGATATTGATATCTTGCATTTCTTTCACACTTCACGAGCGCCTCAACCGTTCATGAAGTTTAACGTCAAAGAGGGGCTAAATGTAGATTAATCGTTACCCACAAATTGTGGTAAGGTAGTCATTATCAATTGTGACAGAATACCCGCCAACTTTTTATGAAATATCCAACTATACCCTGTCA